GAAACGGTTTTGCGACTTGGGTTGAGGAACCGTTGACTTAATTATATAACTAGCCTCTGGAGCGTTAGTTCTATGACTGTAGAATGGGAATCTTAATTTCTCTTTCACTCTGCAATATTTAATTAGTGTGCAAGGTCTTCTGGCAGGTTTAATTCCTTAAAATGTGTGCAAGCATTTTAAGGACCTAGGCACTGGGATCCCCATTTCCACTGAGTGCTGCAGTGAAACAGATAACAAGATGTGCCATGTGACAGGGTGCATGGCACAGGGTGCTCTGCAACTGTAAAGTTAAAGTCAGTGTCTACTCCAGACAGCTTGCAATCTAAATACCAGTGATTTATTTTAGCAGATGTTTACATAATTCTTATATCAGCGTGAAATTTATCTGTGAAAATATTTAAAAGTAAATGTAATTTATTCTTTCAAAGTTCAGTATCTAGTTCCTAAACCTGGAGCTCCAGATGGAGGATTATTTACTAGAAGTGTGTCTGCTACATTATGTGTAGCAGTATATGCTCTTCCTTCCCTTTTAACAGTGCAGGTTACATTCTGAGCATACTTAGTACCAAACATTTTATTTTTCAGTCACCTTGGAAGTCATTTCAAAGAAATGTGTACACTGAAACAAGGTCATGAATTTCCTGTTTTTCTCACAGACCACCTTAATAAATATTTGAATTGATTCTTTATTGTATTAGTTGCTACTGTTGTGTCCTTAATTCAGACTTTTCCATGCACAGCTGTTGTTTAAAAGTACAGAGATCAACAGGATCGAATAGATCAGATCTGTCTGTATTTTGCATGCATAGACCATTTGATTTTACGAGGGGAAGGAACTGATCTAATAGTTACAGCTTAATTTGCATAATGAGCTGATGGCAAAGCTTTCCTTGTCAACAAGGAAAAGCAATATTGGATTCAAATTAACAAAGTTGTAGAGAAGGATAAATTATAATATACTGATCCTGGGAATTAAGGCAACAAAATATATGTCTGTCTTCCACATGTTGATGTAATCCCTACTGTCTCTGGATTCAGACCTCCTTTGCAAGTCACTTCGTGCAGCCAGATGGGAAAGAATTTTCCCCAACTCCCAACATGTGTTCAGGGAAGACCCTCACTCCAGTGAAAACCATGATAACTTCATGGCACAGCCATCTGATATGCTGGTGGAAGGACCCTTGGCTGGGTCACTTCTGACACCAACAGCATCACACGGAATGGGAAGGAAAGTGTAGGAGGTATAGAGTTGCTGCTACATCTTCCAAGATGGGTCAAGAACTTCCTGAGCTTTATACCACAAAACTTTTTGCAAGTCAAATTTGTTTGCATGTTATCTACCCTGGGTATACCTCTGCATGTTAGCACCCAGTTATGTATTTCTACCCAAAGATCTTAAAATGACATGGTATATAATTTTAACCATGGAGATCTTTGGTTATGAATAATTCTACAATTACAAAGCAGAAACACAAAGGATGACGAAAATAAGGGATTGAAAAACAGTAACTTTGGAGGGTCATTTTTAATAAAAACATTGGCATGATTTATTAAAAGATGAGGTTTTATAGAGCAAAATACATTTACTTCTAGAGACATTGAGAAAGTGGGGATAGACAAGGTAGCACTGAACATTTATTCTCTTTTTATGCACTTTTCCTTTATTAACTTGGTTATCATATCTTTTTTATTACCAGCTCTGGATTTATTTTTATACTGTTTGGGCCTGATCCAGTATCTTCTTACCAGGAAAGAATATTCTTTGAATAAGGAAAACAGGTTTTTGTACTATTGTTTGTTGATTTTGTCTGCTCATTAGAGTTCACTTTTGTTTGAGCTGTTAACAATCTGTCACTATATCTTCAGAGTCTCCCTGGATTATTCCTTGATAATTGGGAGTCTGTATAATACAACAAATTATAAAAAAAAAGGCATAGGGTATAGCAGAAGGTTGCTCTATAATTTGTTGTAATTGTTACTTTGACTCACATTGTCTATTCTAAACAAATATTATTGCAATTACTGTAAGTCAAGAAATGATAAAAGAAAAAAAAAAAGACCCCAAAACATATAGGCTTCAATTTCAAGAGAGTTATTTATAGGAGAACCAGAATTTAACTGCAGCATTAATAAACAGTATCTGGTTCCACGTTTTTAAATCCAGCAAAACTAAAATATATTGTGTGGATGAAACTGAAGTGTATTTAGACTGTTTTATTTTGCTTGGTGCTAGGATAGAACGTGAAACTAAATATATTCATCCATAGATAACTTAAGTTCCTGCTTCTGCTTATATTTCATCATCTGTGAGAAATCTCCTAGGTGATTAAACTAATGCACTGTAAAAGAATGAATCAGTCCTGCAGAGCTCTTCTCTGTACAGAGAATAACTTGCTCAGTTAAGTACTGTTGGGGTTTTACTAAATTAAAATCCTAGGATTTTTTGTACATAATACATTTTATCTGTGAAAACTGAGCAAATTTTTACATGTGACTCTCAAACTAAATTCCTATGGTAATTAATAAAGAAGATTTGAATACCTTTCTGGTAGAGTCATCTTTGATCAATTTAATAACTTGATTTTCTTAACAGAGGAAAACCCTTATCTCTCAAGGCTTGTGGTAACATTGGGATACACCATGAAATTTTTAGAAGAATCAGAGAGTCTGTTCTTTGTCGGGAAAAGATGAATTCAGACTGGAAACTTATCTTTTACTGATTCAGGTGTAACATAGGCTTAGTAATTACTTAATATTTATATTTCAGTTCCTGTGTGGGCTCCAGTAGATCCCTGAAACTCTTATCTGAAGCATCAAGTCTCCATTGTGTACCAACACATGAAAATATGACCTTCCCTAGAAGCTGAACTCACTGGACCTAGATAAGGCTGCTTACATATCCAGAGCTGGCTGATTTTAACTATTCACTTGTTTACAGATAAACATGAATATTGTTCTTTGTGTGTCTGGCAAAGATAGGCAAAAATTGTAGTTGGAGGTATTCTCTTTTAACAAATATATGCATGCACTTGCCTTTTTTTTTTAGTAGATTTATTTTACTTATGTTACTTATCCCCACTCCTTCTTGGCCTATTTTCTTGTGACTGGTATGGTAAAGGGGAATGACAAGAGCTAAAAAAGAGATAAAGAAATGATCTTATTAGTCAGCACAGAGATGGCATTTCATGAGTGGAATTTTGTGATTGTTGCATGGAATAGAAGTACCTAAATATAAATAATAAGATATATATAATAAATTTATGTTTTTCAGAGCGTTCCTTCTGGAACTCCTGGTCTTGAGCTGCAACTTACACTTGTCCACTTCACTCAGTGTAGTTGTGCATAAAGACTATATGAAATTCACTGTAATCTAACAAAAGCATCCTTTTATTATATGGCATAGCATTTATGTGTGCATTCGTTGTCATTCTAATACAGTGTTTGATTTTTGACTGTAGTGAACAGAAATAGTTCAGCTTTAATATGGTATATGCTTTTCCAGTTTGTAAAGTTTTCTTTCCAAATTCCATGTAAACATCTTACTGTACTGCACCCACAGTATCTGCACAATATACACACTTCTGTAGATTGCTAAATCATTGTTAAATCTGATTGGAATTAACTGAATTGTGAAAAAAAAAATAAAAACTGTATGCACTTATTTGCATTTATAGAATCACAGGATCACATGAATGTTTTGGGTTGGAAGGAACCTGCAAGACCACCCAGTTCTAACCCCCTGCCACGGCTGGGGACAGCTTCCACTGACCAGGTTTCTCAAAGCCCTGTCCAACCTGGTCTTGAATACTGCCAGGGATGGAGCAGCTACAGCTTCTCTGGGCAACCTGTGGCAGTGTTTCACCAACCTCACAGTAAGATTTTTTTCCTAATACCAGTAAGAATTTTTTCCTAATACCTCATCTTAATATACCTTTTTTAGTTCAAAGCCATTGCTCCTTGTCCTGGCACTACATGCCCTTGTAAAAAGTCCCTCCACAGATTTCTTGTAGGTCCCTTTTAGATACTGGAAGGCTGCTGTAAGGTCTTCAGAGCCTTCTCTTTTATGGAGTGAACAACCCAAATTCTCTCAGCCTGTCTTCACAGGAGAGGTAGTTCAACCCTCTGATCACCTTTATGGGCCTCCTCTGGACTTGCTTCAACAGGTCCGTGTTCTTACGTTGGGGGCCCCAGAACTGAACACAGTACTCCACATGGGGTCTCATGAGAGCAGAGTAGAGGGGCAGGATCACCTTCCTCGACCTGCTGGTCACGCTCCTTTTGATGCAGCCCAGGATATGGTTGGCTTTCTGGGCTGCAAGCACACAATGCCAGCTTGGGTTGAGCTTCTTTGTCAACCGACACCCTAAGTCATTCTCCTCAGGGCTGCTCTGAATCTCTTCTCTATCCAGCCTGTAGCTGTGCCTGGGATTGCCCCGAGCCAAGTGTAGGACCTTGTACTTGGCTTGGTTGAACTTCATGAGGTTGCTATTGACCCACCTCTCAAGCTTGTCAAGGTCCCTCTGGATGGCATTCCTTCCCTCCAGCGTATCAACTGAACCACACAGCTTGGTGTCATTGGCAAATTTGACGAGGGTGCACTTGATCCTGCTGTCCATGTCACCAACAAAGATGTTGAACAGTGCTGGTCTTAACGCTGATCCCTGAGGAATACCAGTCATCATTTGTCTCCACTTGGAGCTGTTGACTGTAGCTCTCTGAGTGCAACCATCCAGCCAATTCCTTGGTCACCGGGTGGTCCATCCATTAAATCCATGCTGCTCCAATTTAGAGACAAGGATGTCATGCAGAACAGTGTCAAATGCTTTGCATGAATCCAGAAGATGATGTCGGTTGCTTTTCCCTTACTCTCCAGTGCTGTCACCCTATTATAGAAGGCTACCAAATTTGTCAGGCACGATTGCGCTGACAATTCACTGCCTAAGTGAAGCCATGTTGGTCATCACCAATCACCTCCTTATTCTCTACACATTTTTCCAGGAGGATCTGCTCCATGATCTTGCTGGGCACCAATGTGAGACTTATTGGCTTGTTCCCTGGGTCTCCCTTTTTTCCCTTTTAAAAATTGGGTTATGTTTTCTGTTTTTCAGCCAGTAGGAACTTCACCAGACTCCCATGACTTCTCAAATATGTGGCTGAGCCACTTCATCTGCCAGTTCCTCAGGACTTGAAGATGCATCCCATTTGGTTGCATGGACTTGTGCACCTTATGGAATTCAAGAGGTAAATTTAATTCAGTCATGTCTGTGCCTTTTTATGCTTTCTGTTTGTGAACACTTAAGAACTTGATGCTGAGAATATTCTAGGAATATTGAAGGCTGAAGACTTTATGAAAATGTTTAATATAGTAATAACACAGTACTTTTGTACTGTGGGCCTTTTGTAATAAGGTTTGTGGTGGCATTGGGGGATAATGCTTGTCTTTATAAAGAGCTGGTGGATGTTGAACTTGATTTGGAATAGGGCCTTTCTTGCTCAAATTCAGTGTTACACCAGCTGGGGAAGGCTACCATGCTTAGAAAGTAAAGCTGAGAGTTTTCCAAAGGAAAATTACAAAGTGATGTAGATCTATTGTAAATCTACTTGAAATGACCAGTATATTCAGGGAAGGGTTTCTTGTGCAATAGCACTTGGCAGAATAGAAAAGAGGATTGCAGTCTAGAGAAAGGAGTTTATAGCAGCTCAGCATAAAATGCTTTTCTTAGTTATTTTGGAACAGTACATTTAGTTGGCTTTTGACCCGGTGTTCTCCTAAATCAACAGTAAAGGTCAGACATAAACAAGATAATTTTGATGCACTGGTAATTAAGAAGGTATTTTAATTCAGGGCAGTAACTTATCGGAAATGAAGAATGCAAACAGACAGATACAAATAGAGGGGAGAGCCTTTTCTAGGCTACTGCCTAGGAACAACCTTTGAGCTCTGCTCCTGCATAGTACAGTACTTTGTCCACTGTGGAGAGAGGGCTGATTTAGTTTTCTCTTCTGCTTTATTTTCAGTGTAAAGTCACTGCAGAGGTCTCCACTCAAAGAATGTTAGGGACATGGCAGAAGTTGCTGTAAATGAGAAGGATTACCAACATGATTTCTATGTATGTTTTCTATTTCCATGACAAACATTGCCCCAAACAAGAGAGCAGTGGTAGCTGACAGATTAAGTCAAGGCAGATCCTGAAGGAAAGATCTCCTTTTAGGGAAGAGGTGGCATTTTAACAACTGTCAGGTCAAGGAATTTCATTGGGAAGGTGACAATCTAAATTGCTGAATAGTCCAAAGGTAGCAAGGTAGTGAGCTAAGGGGAGCAACAAGATAGCTGGAGCATGAATAGGCATGTTAATGAAGTTAAGAGTAAAATGGCTGCTAAATAAAATAATAAAGTACACATTCTCTTATTTAAGTCAGCAATTGTATTGGAAGATAGCAAATATTATACTGCTACTTATAAAAAGCCTCAATAATAACCTGGAGAATTACAGACCAGTAAGGCTTACTTCAGCTCTTGGCAACTTTACTGATAGGATGATTAAAAATACAGTTATAAAAAAATTCCAGAAACACAGTTTGATGATATGGTAGGGAAAAATTGCACAAATTTTGTAAAGGAATATTGTACCTTACTAATTCTTTGAATGTATAAATGGTACATTAGATGAATGAAAGTTGATAAAGTACATTTGTGTATGTAATCGCTGCTACATCTGAAAGTGACAGTTTAGGAAACAAAACCACATAGATTCCCTAAAAAGGTGGCAAGAGGAGGTAGAAGACTAAAATTCATGTCTTCCTTCTGAATCAGCGCAGAAGACAGGTTTGATCTTACATTCTCTGTATTCAAAATAGCTGTTCAAATTGGTGAATTTCGGAGATCCCAAGAAGTGAATTTTTTCTTCCCTTTGTTCTGATAGGATTTATAATCCCTGGTAGAATGCCTGTCTCAGCTGAATTGATGCCTAAACCCCACCCATTTCCTCTGTTTTACTGCTGACTTGCTTAGTGGTGTCACATTCAGCCAGCTTTGGGAATCTCTTTAGCTGCATATTAATTGCATGCAAGTGTGCCATTAAGCATCAAGGTATATCTGAGGTAGGCATAGTAATGCTTTAGCATTTTTGATGTTCTGAGCAATGTAGTACTCTGAGAAAGTAATATTCTGTGTGGATAAAAGAGTACAAAGCAGAAAAAAAAATAGTTCATTTTTCTCAGGGTAAAAAATAACCTTTGAAGTACCTCAGGTTCCCATATATGGGTAGAATTTGGTCTATTTATTAATAATTTGGAAAATGGAAGACCAGTGAGGATTAAATTCTACATATGCTCCCAAATAATTTAATTAAGGTCAAAGAAATATGAACAAACTTCAGGAGGAGCTAACAAAGCTGGCTGCAATGTTGCCACAATGGTGGGATAAAATCAGAGTTGCTTTAAAGTGGCGATCCTTAAATGCCAAAAGAATACTATCACACCTTCAATGGCTTTTAAAAATGAGTGTGCAATGACAGAACATCTCAAATGAGTGTGCAGATGATATAATCAGAAGAATTCAGAATAAATTTATGAATGAAATGACTAGTAGTAAAAGCATGCACTTTCTTCTCATCAGGCTTTTAATGTATGAATTATAGTACTATTTGATATGCTCCTGTGTGCTGTCCACAATCTCCTTTTCACAGCTTAGCAGAACTCCATGGAAACCACAAGAATTTGGTTTGGGATCTCTTGGCCTAAGAAAAGCACTACATATTGAAGGGCACAATTTTAACTATTTTTACTTCTTAATGGTTTTTAAAACCTGAGTATCACTGCTCTTTGCTCAGTGAAGTGCCTCAGTTACTAGTGCCTGGAGCTGAACTCAGGCTGCCTGTCTGCCTACCCACGGGCTTCAGCAGTTCTCTGCCAAAGGTCTGCCTGCCTAATGGTTTCAACCTTTTTTGATTTGTAGTACCTTGAGAAATTCCTTGTAGAGTTGCAGGCTCTGAGTAATAAGTGCAAGTGTTCTGATATTAGGCTTGCTTTCCTTTTTTGTTGTTTTTAAATGACCACTTGCAGATCCCAGGAGTAGTCCATAGGGATCCAGGAATCCTTCAGTGATAAGTACCAAAAAAAAAGCCCTCCAGTTCAATAATGGTTTTTAAAGGAGCCTTTAGTTGAAAACTCTGATGATTAAGATTAGAACAATTGTACCTAAGCACATGCTGAAGTGTATTTGGCATTTCATGCTGTACCTATTTTCAGCATCCCTACTTTATGTTTTCCAATTTAAATGCAGGCCCTTTGTTTTCGCTGCAGTTGAAAGGGAAGACATTCTGAAGTAATTAGAACATTACTGCTCTTTTCAGCATTAGTGTTCCCTTTATTCTTACAGTTAAAAAATATAAAAAAAATCAAATTAATGGACTTCAGAGACTTGGTTGGTGCATGGGCCTGGAGAAGCAGCAGGGAAGCAATATACTTAATGTGGCGAAAGGTGAGATAGCAAACTTTTGTGTACCCTATGTACCATGTATTAATCTCCTCATAACTGCTTTCACATTTGAACCTTCTGTCTCTTATGTGAGATCCAGCAATCTTTGCTTTTTCTGTTCTGGGAGCAATTTTCCAAATCATTAATTTTCAGTGGCCAGGCTTCAATTAGCTTAATCAGGCATTGATTAGATTTCTCAGGTCCCTGGCATTTATTTTCCACCTTGCCTATATGGTTCCTTGACTCCATTACCTGATTGTTCACTTATTGCTTATAAGGTTGATTCCTCTCCATTAACATTCCCTGATGAGAGGTCTCTTTAGCCTTCCAGCTAGCCACTTTCATTAGTGATGGTGGCAATTCATGGTAAGGGCCAGTTTCTACTGCCCTTTCAAAGCAAGATATTTTCTTCTAAGTAGTGTTACTTCTTCAGCAATCTATTCTTAGATGAGATGAAGGTGATGCTTATAAACAATTCTGACTCAAAGAGAAAACATTTTATTTGGAATATACTTCATACTTTGTTTAAAAAGTTGTGAAATCGTAGGAAATGAATGAAGTGATGGTTTTTCAAAGCATACTTCATGCAAGTTTAGCTTTTTTTTAACCTCTGCTTTTCTCGGTGTCTAGCTTGATGTATTAAAATGCATTTTCATAGCCAGCACTCGGGATGTGAGGGAGTTTGATGTGGTTTTATAATCAAGGGTGATGTGAGGCACATGTAGACTCCATGTCTCCTTAGACTGCAGTCCCTGTAGACGCCATGCCCTGTTCCTAGATACCAGTTACTCAGCAGTAAAAACTTGGGTGCAGACTCATTCCTCATGATGCATGTTTTTGAGGAGGTGTGAGCAGCAAGACAGGTGAAGGATGAAGTTGAAAGCGAGGGACTGGACGGAGCTGGAAATTGGGACTTCAGGTGGATTTTTCTAGGTTGAAAAGCACTTTCTTCTCTCTAAATCCAGTAGGGTCTAACACTGTTTGTGGTCAGATCTGTTCATTATGCTTTGTTTTTGCAAACAATGCGTTCTGAAGGCACAGACCTCTTTTTTAAATTCTTTTTTTAAAATCATGTTTGCACTAGCTTGGATGAGATAGACCTGAATGTAAATGTGCCAAAACTGATAGCGGGGAAATTCTGATAGCACAGAGTTTCATTTTCCAGGACTTTGTTTACTATCTATGAATTAAAAACTCTAATAAAAAGTTATCTTAATAATAAAATATAGTTTCCGATTAAAAAATATGGAATCAGATCTTCAAACATATTTTTTTCTATGGCTTCTTGGAGTTGGGAGAGTTGCCAACATTTCCAAGTTTTTTTTGTAATTAAACCAAAGTTGCTTAACTTCTGTTTTGATCAGTCAACATTTCTGAAAAAACGATGTTTTGCCAGGAAGCTCCTAACCCACTCTAATTTTCACACACATATAATTAAATATATGACTTGTCTTCTCTGAATCCTAGGACATATACATGCCTTCTAATTTAAATAATAATGGATAAAAAAGTATCATCTCAAGATTTAGTATTTGGTGGTTTGTTTTATTTTTTCAGATTGTTCTGAGAAATACTTTGAGCACTAGTTTCAGGTTTTGTTCAAAAATGCTAGTACAAGAAATGTGTAAAAAACACTTTTCATGATCACTTTTTCCTTACTATTTAGGTGGAACAGTGATTAGGTTCAATGTGAGACTGTTCTGAAGCTCATTTTCTCTTTTTTGTACTCATTGTTTTAAAGATCTATTGCAAATTGCTGGAT